GTTTGAAAGGACTCTACTAAGAGAAATGAAATCTCTTAAGATCATGTGTCAGCAGACCATAAATAACATTGCTGAAATAAAAGAACATCTGAAGTTGAAAAATCAAGATGAAAAGGGTGCAACTAAAGGAGAATCAGGTGAGGAAGGCAGTACACCTGAAGAAAACGATACAGAAGAGTTACAGGAAGAGGAAATTGTGGAAGAAGATGTCGCTAAAGAAAGTAACAGTGGCATGCTTCTCAAGACATATCTGAAGAAAAATAAGAAAAAGATCTAAAATTAATGAATCTGTAGTTACAGTCTAAAGCTTTATGTTTTTCTGTTTTGATTTATGTAGTTGGCATTATATGTCATTGTCCTTTGTTTTTTTTTATCTGATTGTATTTCAAATTTAATATCAATGAAATTAGAATTTATGGTTAAATAAATTTGTGATTGCATAAATATGATAACCTAAAATCGATTACACTGTGCTTGTATGCGAATGAATTATTGATTACTGTTACTTTCATACATTTGCATACTCACACATTAATTCATGTATAACATTGATTCTAAAATGCTTGATCTAGAAAGACTTTGAAAGGTTTTGCAGGAATCAATTATCCAATCACTACGCCTAGTAACAACAAAAAGATTAAAAGCAGAGTTAGATATACCTGACTTGGTCAAAAATCCGACAGCAGTAGAAATATGACTCTTAGAAGCAGCGGAAGTCCTAGAACCATGTTTCTCTGATTTTTATCAGAAGAAGCCATTAGAAATATTCAATGAAATAAAGAAGCATCAATTTCTATATTGTAGAGGGTGTCCATGTTTGGCTCTGATACCATATAAAAAGGTTTAAAGAATAATTCTGATGTATTATTTCAAAGCGTAGGGTAACATATATATACATACAAGGGTCCTATAATCCCTCATCTATTAAAGGAATGTCAACTGCACAAATCTTCACAAAATATAATAATGCCTAAATTATAGCCAACACAATATTTGATTACCTAATATTTACTAATAGAATATTTGACATATTTTAACAATAGGTAGTTCAATAACGACAAACACAAATCTCGCTAGTATAGATTTAACAATGACTTTGATACAATGTTAAGAAGTGGACTTTAAGCTTAACTCAACCTCACAAAGCTTGTAAGATAAGGTTTGCACCAACTTATATAATATAAATTGGCCTTATCCTGAGTTGATACGAGACTTCCAACACAATCGACGCAAAATGCATATAGCAACGCTCCCTACATCGATGACGATGTTGTCGGTTCACCATTTCTCTTGAACATGTTTAAAGGAGCTTCTACTGGAAATAAAGCCTTAAACGAAGGAGTGGTGATGGACTACAAGCCTTACGTCGTTTACTAAACAACACTCAGAGACTAATTGGGCACGTATTTTATCGAACCAATTCAGTTCATGCACAACAACAAAAGTTCTTCCACTAACCCAAAACTTTTCTCCTTTTCCTCTGCTTTTACATTTGTAATCATCCCTTAACCCAAAAGAAGTGGGGAATTTTGGGTCGGAGCTTCAAAATAAACTGATAGGCCAGAACCATTTCCCTGTACAACTCTTATCTCGCTCTTGTTGGGAATCCAAGTGTGAGTCTAAGTCCCACATTGAATAGAAATGAGAAAGTAGAGCAGTATATAAAGGTGAAAGACCCATTAACCCATTGCCTTAAGGTTTTTGGTAAAGAGTGGTGTCGATTCCTTATATAGTTGGCTAAGATGTTATTGATGTTTGTGTAACCCACAGGGAACCTCCTCCTTGATAAACCCAACATTGGTATCAGAGTCGTTGGTTTGTCTTGGTGACCGGCTCAGACGAGTATAATGATCCCTATACCGAAAATCTTCCTGGCAAAGGGTATTCAGGTAAGCGAGTTCCGTTAAGATGAACGACGGTTGAAAATGGTTACTCGTGGTTGTGGTTGGTTGGAATGCTTTCACTGGTGGGGGAGTGTACCTATGTGGAAGGGACTCACCCTTGAGGGAGAGATTGTTGGGACTCCAAGTGTGAGTCTAAGTCCTACATTGGATAGAAATGAGAAAGTAGAGCAGTATATAAAGCTGAAAGACTCATTAACCCATTGCCTTAAGGTTTTGGGTAAAGAGTGGTGTCGATCCTTTATATGGTTGGCTCAGATGTTATTGGTGTTTGTGTAACCCACAGGGAACCTCCTCCTCGATAGACCCAACAACTCTCCCCTTTTATTGATTTTAACACTCCACAATTTCTTTGGTGTGCCTTTTCAGAAAGATGAAGAACACTGAAGTAATCAAAGCTTAAGATGCATGCGTCATAAGGATGATGGTGACGGTGAAGATGGATATGAAAAGAAAGAATATTGTGTCGAAATGGTGAGCTTCATAAGTTAAAGAAAAAATAGTTTTTATTAAATAAAATAAAATTAAACACTTTGTTGTCATTAGTATTGATGCTAATATTGACATGTAAGCAATGCAAATATTTATGTAAAATATCGATTGTCATGATAAAAAAATTTGACGTCATTAAAAATGAGAGATTAAATTTATTATTTTATAAAATATAAAATTAAAAACAAAAATCAAAGTTTAAACAATCAATTATAATTTTACATGAAATAGAATATAAAATAAAAGGAACTTCATGAGTTTATTTTTTCCTTTCCATTCATTATGTTGGTCCTTTACAACACAATACAAATAGCGTAAATAGGATATTTGTCAATTATTCTAACTTAAAATGTGCCTTAGAGATAGTTCTTGATCATCAAATCTTCTAACCATGTGAGTTAGTTGATCTTTCTAGTGAATTTGAGAGGTATGAAATCAGATAAATCTCTTCCTAAAAACCATAAAAAGGACACATTGGATTTTTTACCTATGACAAAGTGTTTCTCTTTCTCATATTTATTATATTTATTATATTTATTGATAATTTATGCTTAAAGAATATCCATAGATAGTGCAAAGCTTTTGGATGTAACTTTATATTATAAAAAAAACGTATCACACTTCTTTTAAGCAGCGTATCACACCAACTCCATCTTTCCTTATATTTTATTTTTAAATATATGAAACCTGCTTATTCTCTCTATTTGTTGATATTATCTTATGGACATTAACGCTTTATTTGATTCAAAATGATACAAAATTAAAATTAATTCTCATAAAAATAATAATATTAAAAAGAAGTCATAGGTAATAATTCTATGATAATATTTTATTAATATAGACAATATCATAAAAATATAATGGGCTATAATATTACTATTATTGATTGTATCATTAATTTTTATTACTATTTATATTCTTTTATTATAATAAAATACAAAGTTAAATAATATTTCTAAAATAAGTAAAAAATGAATATATTTAATTCATGTCAGTAAATTCAAATAATTTTGCTGTTCTTTTTTTTTTTTATTTTTGTACTCCTCGATTTTCATCCTTTAATTAAAATAAAATATAAAACTGTTTTAGTTACCTTTACATTTATAATTACTTATTTATTCTCGTCTTCTTATAAATTTATATCCAGACATCAAGTTTATTATTTGTCATATAATAAAAATGAAATAAAATATAGGTAATAATATATTTTTATTCAATTTTAAAAAATGATATAAAAGAGAGAACTTTGTTTTAAAATAAACATTAATTATATTTTTAATATTCATTGTATTTGGTTTTAGGAGAAATATAATATATATATATATATATATATATATATATATATATATTTATATAACATTATTTGTTTTTCATGTAATTAGTGAAACTTTTTGTATTGTATGATTATTTGGTTAACCATTTAAATAATTAACTATAATTTAAGTGATTAATTAATGAGTTTAACCAGAGTATCAAATAGGTCAATTAGTCATTTATACTAGTTCGAATCAACATACTACACTTTAGAGATTCCGTACATAAGTTGATTAATCATGTATTAATTTAGATAATTCAAAATTTATATCTATATCAACTAGTCATGTATTAACCTAGATAGTCACGCGCTAGTGAATATGATAATGAATTTGTCAGTCACCAAAAATATTTATCTGTCATAAACTAGATGAATATATTAATATTAAAACTGACAAATTTAAAAGTAAAATATAATTATTCTCAATGTACATAAGTTAAATTAATGAAAAGTTTACCATAAAATTTATAAATAAAAATTTAAAATAAAAAGTTAGATTTGTGCATTTATTATTATGTTATCCGCTGAATTTTGATATAAAAATATCTTCTACCAACTATTTGGACGTACAAAAGTTTACTTTCTAAATAATATTTGAATTTTAGATGAAACCACAAAACTCGTACCGTTAACTTCGATTCCACCCGAAACACATGTGATGTTTTACTTCCAAAAGTATTAGTCCTCTTATTTGATAGACCAAGACAACATAAATGGAAATATCTTTCGCGTCATGAATAATTTAATAAGAAAGAAAAGTAAAATTAAAATCAAGGTCAAAGAAAATGTAACTTTCCTGTGATTTTTAATTTTATATACGTTTTCTTTATATTTTCATACAATTGAGTCTACATCTAAAATAATTATTAAGTTATTACGAAAGGTAACTTTATTTTATTAGTTCAAAAATTGAAAATTGAAAATTGAATTACAATTGTTAATTTTTGTTAATTTTTGAAAATGTGAGAACTATGCTAAGACATAATTCGAATTACAACTCATTTAATATATATATATATATATATATAATTTTAGATAATTCTTTTTATATAGAAATTTAATTGCATAAATAATATCAATTTAATTATTATTTATCTTTCTTAGAAAATATATTACAGTATCATTTGTTTTTCCTGATATATACTTTCGTTTCTTTAATTAAATTATAGTATTACATTAAAAATAATTATGTAAAATTAAAAATATTTTTATAAGAAGAATAATTTATATTTTGATGTATATAAATAAATATATTTTTTCTGCATAATGTGTGAGTTTTGTCTTTGTTTTTGTGGTGGATTTCAACGATATAGTTTGTTAGAGGATTGGGGTTATGGGGGTTTAGAGAGAGTGAAGCATCTTCAATCCAAAGCTTCTTCAATGACAAAAGAAGCAAACCATAGCAGCAGTGACATGAAAGGTCTTCCCAAAGTGCTGGTTCTGGGTCCTCCTCTTTGCTTCTCATCACTTCAACCTCTCTACTCTCACAAATTCCATTTTCTCAATTCTCACCTAACAGATCTCTCGCTTCAACATTTCCTTCAACTCCACCACCCTCCCTCTATTACCGCTATTCTCTGCGACGCCGCCGGCTACTCCGTAACCGCTGAAGTCCTCCACCTCCTCCCATCGCTCCGCCTCCTCGTCACCATCAGCGCCGGAACAAATCACATCGACCTCCGTGAGTGTCGCCGCCGCGGAATCGAGGTCGCCGGCGCCGGAGCTATTTTCTCGGAGGATGTGGCAGATATGGCCGTAGGTCTGCTCATTGACGGAATGAGGAAAATCTCTGCGGCAGATCGGTGGTTAAGGACGCAGAATGGCCACAATGCGCCCTGGCATTTATTCCCATTAGGGTCCAAGGTTTGCATTGTTATATATATATATATATATATATATATATATATATATTTTGAGTGTG